CTCACACTGGGGGACCTATAAAAACAAGAAAAAAGAAAAGCTGGAGGGGGCTTACACAAGGGGACCTATAAAATCAAGAAAAAGAAAAGCTGGAGAGGGACTCAAAACTGGGGGACCTATAAAAACAAGAAAAGGAAAAGCTGGAGGGGGACTCACACTGGGGGACCTAGAAAAACAAGAAAAAGAAAACCTGGAGGGGGCTTATACTGGGAACCTATAAAAACAAGAAAAAGAAAAGCTGGAGGGAGACTCACACTGGGGGACCTATAAAAACAAGAAAAAGAAAAACTGGAGGGGGACTCACACTGGAGGACCTATAAAAACAAGAAAAAGAAAAGATGGAGGGGGATTCACACTGGGGGACCTAGAAAAACAAGAAAAAGAAAACCTGGAGGGGGACTCACACTGGGGGACCTAGAAAAACAAGAAAAAAAAAAGCTGGAGGGGGACTCACACTGGGGGACCTAGAAAAACAAGAAAAAGAAAACCTGGAGGGGGACTCACACTGGGGGACCTAGAAAAACAAGAAAAAAAAAAGCTGGAGGGGGACTCACACTGGGGGACCTAGAAAAACAAGAAAAAGAAGACCTGGAGGGGGACTCACACTGGAGGACCTATAAAAACAAGAAAAAAAAAAGCTGGAGGGGGACTCACACTAGGGGACCTAGAAAAACAAGAAAAAAAAAAGCTGGAGGGGGACTCACACTGGGGGACCTAGAAAAACAAGAAAAAGAAAACCTGGAGGGGGACTCACACTGGGGGACCTAGAAAAACAAGAAAAAGAAAACCTGGAGGGGGACTCACACTGGGGGACCTAGAAAAACAAGAAAAAGAAAAGCTGGAGGGGGGCTCACACCGGGGGACCTAGAAAAACAAGAAAAAGAAAACCTGGAGGGGGACTCACACTGGGGGACCTAGAAAAACAAGAAAAAGAAAACCTGAAGGGGGACTCACACTGGGGGACCTAGAAAAACAAGAAAAAAAAAAGCTGGAAGGGGGACTCACACTGGGGGACCTAGAAAAACAAGAAAAAGAAAAGCTGGAGGGGGACTCACACTGGGGGACCTATAAAAACAAGAAAAAACAAAAGCTGGAGGGGGACGCACACTGGGGGAACTAGAAAAACAAGAAAAAGAAAAGCTGGAGGGTGCTTACACAGGGGCCTATAAAAACAAGAAAAAGAAAAGCTGGAGAGGGACTCACACTAGGGGACCTAGAAAAACAAGAAAAAGAAAAGCTGGAGGGGGACTCACACTGGGGGACCTAGAAAAACAAGAAAAAGAAAAGCTGGAGGGGGACTCACACTGGAGGACCTAGAAAAACAAGAAAAAGAAAAGCTGGAGGGAGACTCACACTGGGGGACCTATCAAAACAAGAAAAAGAAAAGCTGAAGGGGTACTCACACTGAGGGACCTAGAAAAACAAGAAAAAGAAAAGCTGGAGGGGGACTCACACTGGGGGACCTAGAAAAACAAGAAAAAGAAAACCTGGAGGGGGACTCACACTGGGGGACCTAGAAAAACAAGAAAAAAAAAAGCTGGAGGGGGACTCACACTGGGGGACCTAGAAAAACAAGAAAAAGAAAAGCTGGAGGGGGACTCACACTGGGGGACCTAGAAAAACAAGAAAAAGAAAACCTGGAGGGGGACTCACACTGGGGGACCTAGAAAAACAAGAAAAAGAAAACCTGGAGGGGGCTTATACTGGGAACCTATAAAAACAAGAAAAAGAAAAGCTGGGGGGGGACTCACACTGGGGGACCTATACAAACAAGAAAAAGAAAAGCTGGAGGGGGACTCACACTGGAGGACCTATAAAAACAAGAAAAAGAAAAGCTGGAGAGGGACTCACACTGGGGGACCTAGAAAAACAAGAAAAAGAAAACCTGGAGGGGGACTCACACTGGGGGACCTAGAAAAACAAGAAAAAAAAAAGGCTGGAGGGGGACCCACACTGGGGGACCTAGAAAAACAAGAAAAAAGAAGACCTGGAGGGGGACTCACACTGGAGGACCTATAAAAACAAGAAAAAAAAAAGCTGGAGGGGGACTCACACTGGGGGACCTAGAAAAACAAGAAAAAAAAAAGCTGGAGGGGGACTCACACTGGGGGACCTAGAAAAACAAGAAAAAAAAAAGCTGTAGGGGGACTCACACTGGGGGACCTAGAAAAACAAGAAAAAGAAAACCTGGAGGGGGACTCACACTGGGGGACCTAGAAAAACAAGAAAAAGAAAACCTGGAGGGGGACTCACACTGGAGGACCTATAAAAACAAGAAAAAGAAAACCTGGAGGGGGACTCACACTGGGGGACCTATAAAAACAAGAAAAAGAAAACCTGGAGGGGGACTCACACTGGAGGACCTATAAAAACAAGAAAAAGAAAACCTGGAGGGGGACTCACACTGGGGGACCTATAAAAACAAGAAAAAGAAAAGCTGGAGGGGGACTCACACTGGGGGACCTATAAAAACAAGAAAAAAAAAAGCTGGAGGGGGACTCACACTGGGGGACCTAGAAAAACAAGAAAAAGAAAAGCTGGAGGGGGCTTACACAAGGGGACCTATAAAAACAAGAAAAAGAAAAGCTGGAGGGGGACTCACACTGGGGGACCTAGAAAAACAAGAAAAAGAAAAGATGGAGGGGGCTTACACAGGGGACCTATAAAAACAACAAAAAGAAAAGCTGGATGGGGACTCACACTGGGGAAACTAGAAAAACAAGAAAAAGAAAAGCTGGAGGGGGCTTACACAGGGGGACCTATAAAAACAACAAAAAGAAAAGCTGGATGGGGACTCACACTGGGGAAACTAGAAAAACAAGAAAAAGAAAAGCTGGAAGGGGACTCACACTGGGGGACCTATAAAAACAACAAAAATAAAAGCTGGAGGGGGCTTACACTAAGGGACTGATAAAAACAAGAAAAAGTAAAGCTGCAGGGTGGCTTACACTCGGGGACGTATACAAACACAAAAAAGAAAACTGGGTGGGGCTTATTTCAAGGAGGTACACAAACAAGAAAAACAAAAGCAGCAGGGGGGACTACACCAAGGGATATATAGAAATAAGAAAAAGAAAAGATGGAGGGGGCTTACACCCCGAGGTGTTTACAAACAAGGATAAGAAAAGTGGGAGGGGGCCTATTACTTGTTCAATAATGGAAATGCTTATTCTTGTTGTTACATACACATATATCAATAGACTAAGTTACTTAACATTAGATAAAGTGGTGATATTGAATGCCACACAAATATGTGGTATAAACAACAACATGCAAATTAAGACTTAGAAGCTTGTGTTCTATCAACAGATAACACTACAGAAACAAAAAGACTTTCACTGCGCAGCAGCAGGTGTAATATTAAAACAGCAGAACCCTTAACCCTTTACACCCTAACATTAGTGTTCATATTCTCCACACTGATCTCTCTACATTTCCTGAGGTAATAACAAGGAGAATTTGTTTGACAACAGGGGGATTTATAAATTGGTGATTACTTCTATTATTCTCACAACCCTTACACTTAATTCGAGGGTGATACTGTTAGGAGAAATTAGAAGCCAGTCACTCTTAGGGGTTTAAGGGTTAATAAACTAGTGAAAATCCTCCATCTGGCTTTAAAATACATAATGACATTTTTAGATGTTTAAATATTAGACTCCAGTGTTAAAATTATGTGATGTATCAACAAGTACATGTTGGTTATTGAAGTAAATGTTGAGTTCAGTATGATGATACAAATACATGCATATGAAGCAAGCAACTATAATGTAGGTAAATTATACTGCTCTCAAATGTATTTCTTTTTTCAGATTAGTTTGAATGCCGTACAGCTGTACAAATATTATATGCAATGACTGCAGCCTGCATGAAGACTAAGCTGTGAGACTGGCTTTCTTGGCGCTCCTCCCCCACCCATGCAGCCCTCCCAAAACACTAAATGGCCGGCAGTCTTATATTCTCACTAAATTTCACAAAACCAAAAAAATCCAGCTAGTCTAAACTATCATATGTCCATATAGAAAAGTCAAGCGATCTTGAAATGCTTCAGAGATCTCAAGTCTAGTGTTTTGTTTACGCTGGGCTCCCAAGATGACACCATGTATTGTGACACTTAGAAATTTTTGCAGCTCGCCTGCCGGTCAAGGTGTTGAAAACACTAAATGGCCGGCAGTCCTATATTCTCAGTAAATTTCACAAAATCGAAAAATTCCAGCTAATCTAAACTATCATATGTCGATTTAGAAACGTCAAGCGATCTTGAAATGCTTTATAGATCTCAAGGCTAGTGTTTGGTTTACGCTGGGCTCAGGTTACAGGCCATATAGCTACAGCGTATCAAAAAGTCAGTTTGTTGCCTTAGATCACGTTGTGGAATTAAATTCCTCGTGTAATTCGCGCAAACTCTCTTGTGGGCATTTATAAATCCGCCACTAAGGTTACGTCAAACACGAGAACACGTAAAAAAAAAATGATTTGTTAAAGAAACTATTGTCACGCGTGACAGATAACTGTATGAACACTAGCTCCTGTTTGGCGCGAAAATATGCAGGGATATTTTCCCGCAGACATTACGCAGACATTTTCCGCTTGTATCCTAATACTTATTGCATCTTTAAATTGTGCAAGGAAATCACGTTCATCTTTTAGAATGCAACAAAGAAGACAAATTAATTTCTACAATAATTTCATCAGCGAGAAACATTCCCAAGTCTTTCCCTTTCAGACTATTTTCGATTTCTGCCTTCATCAATTCTCGAATACAAATTTGACTCTCGCATGTTTGTGTTATATGTCAGACAAAAGAAAAACTACTTTCGAACTTCAGATTTTACCCACAGTAAAATTTAGCTTACACATACCAGTAAGCTTGTCGAGTTTAAAGAACTGCATGGGAAGCCGTGACAAGGATTATTGAAGGTGTGCGTTTCTTTACGTGCGATTCGTAAATGTCCCCACATAATTATTTTACGATGGTTTGTTAGAAGCGTTTTTCTTACCTTTAGCTTTGTGATTTTACTCCTGATGTAGACACAATCTGTCACTCAACGCTTGAAATCGATTCGACCAACAGCTGTTGGAAAAAAAAACTGATATGAATTCAACTCAATTAAATAAAACCGCTCGGTTTCGATTCTCGACCAAACACCTCAAGTCGAAGGTTGTTCTTCAAATTTTCTGTTTCGTACCCGTGTTTCTGGACCCAAAACTCATTTTCTACATTTCAATAAGTGAGTTACTCTTTACGAATTTTAAAAACGCTGTATTTAGTTCGCGTCCGACGATCCAGTGTTGCTTTGCAATATTGGAATGCTTCGAGAATATGGGCGTCGTCTATCAGATCACGCGATCATAGACAATCATAAGTCTTTCACCTTATAGCAAAGAATCAAAAGCACTCATTCAGATAAAACAATATAATGTCGGCAAAATGCAACTGTTACGACAAAGTTCCCAAATACTGCAATCCCTAGGCCTTTCAATGCCAAGATCTCATTGGTAATATTCCTTACTATCTGTTTTAAGCGATAAATGTGAAGCAATGTAGAGTACGTATGGGTCTGTCGATTCTCCGAGAGAGTCAGGCGAGCATTGGTCAGCCCCAAAACAGGGAGATAGAACGAAAGAATTGAAAGAAATAACGGCAATGCTTATTGAGTGACTCAATTTGTTCTTTATGTGATGTATACTGATTTTACGCAATCAACTGCATATGTGCGTGAATGTTCCCTTGTTTATAAACTCAGTGGGTTAAACTTACCTTCGCAATGATCTTTTCTTCGTTACTCAGTGTTTACTGTTGCATCTTCGATCAAGAAATGGATTTCTAAATAACATGTATAGAGAACCTCATGATCAAACTGTCAATCGCCATCTTGTTGTTTGTTGAGGTTGAGCCGTTCGTCTGTTCACGCCAACGTAATCTCAGTGAAATATTCCTCGCACTAATTACTGGGATACCTGTGGTAGCCCAGTCATAAAATGCCTTTGTTTTTTTGTCGTCTTTTTTTTTTTTTTTTCCTCCGCCACAAAATGGAAAAATTGCGCAATAGTACCCAGAGGTCATTGGGGCCCTCAACACCATGACAACTAACTGTGATCCAGTGATGTGTTCACATGCTGACCACGCGTGTTATCACTCGACACCATGACAACTAACTGTGATCCAATAAGGTGTTCACATGCTGATCACGCGTGTTATCTTGTTGATGATTGACGTTGTCATGAACAAACAGGGCCGGGTCACATGACGAATCGCGAGATTTTTGCTTATAAAATTCTTTGGTCAGTTATTTTGTATTTCAACATATTTGGATTGCGATCTCCTGGAGCATTATGGCGCAAAAGCGCAAAATACCTACAGACGCATATACAAGTCGTATTAATCGCGGCTAATCCACACTGAAAGATGTTATTGGGCGGTAATTTTGGAAGGGATTGAGTCGCGAACGCTTGAAAGCCATGAAAGTCTTGCATGCCTTGTATGCTAAGTATGCCAATGTCTTAGTTGAAAAACGTTCACTTGTTGTAAAAAGCAAAATCTGAAATCAGAAACCAAACTGCATATACTCTATGCAATCTATTGAACAACACTACTACCGTGAGACTGAACAACATAACTATAGTGGATGCAAACTGCTTGTGAAGAAAGACGACATGTTGGATTCACTTGATGGCAAGGAACGTGGCTACAATAACAGTACGAATGGTATTAATTTCACGATCAGAAAGGTGAATCTTATGTTTGTTTTTATTGTAGTTGTATGGATATTCTTTTTTAATAAATACGTGATCCAAAACCCTGTGTTTTTTTGTGTATAATGTTATTATGTTAAATATTGTTTACGCAATTGTCTTGTCACAGGCGGCCTAAGCTCACGTCTCGAGAAAAAGCCAACGATTAATTCATGAACGCGTCACGCGTTGTGTGACTCGGTGTTAAGTTACGAGAGGAACTGCACGTTATAAGGAATAGTATAGGGAACGAAGTATGGTCGATTTACAACGATACATATTTCGAAATATGCACATTTTTCTCGTAAAATCAATAAAACTTACTCATACCCTGTGTATCCGTTGTATTTTCTGGCGATTTCTGCCGTTTTAAGCTTGCTTTACCATCACTGTTATTTACGTCATCTACTTTTATTACGTTGGTAAAATCTGTACACACATCACACCAACCAACTTGCGCGCAAAGTAAGAAGACTATATTGAAGGCTTGAAATAATATTGCGATCGATTTTCATCAAGAAATGGGCCAGGAATATTCCACATTAGTGCAAATAGTCGTGAGGGCGGATCGCAGAAAAGCGATTGCGTGATGCTCGGTAAGCTGTAAGATGACATGTTATTATATACCAGACGTAAAAACTCTTCAGATTCTTAGTCTGCATTTTGTACCCAGTCTGCAGTCTGTATTTTGTATCCGGTCTGCAGTCTGCTGCCTGCATGTTTTACTAACAGGTATCCGTGGCACCAATACATTTTATTTTTGGTTACATTTATTCGCAAAACACACATAATCTACCACAAAATACCTGTGAGGTAATTCGACATTTTCGTTCTTTCCCACATTAATATTCTTCTCTCCTTTTGTAAGAATGTAGACATCACTCACAATGTTTCAAGTAATCCACCCACCCTACAAAAAAGTAACTCTTGCATGCATAGCATGCCTATGTTTTGAAATAGGTGTATGCCCTTGGCCAGACTTGAGCGCACTATTTCAGTATACTAGTCCGACACCCGTAGTATCACCTCACTTAATACCAAGGATCCAGTACCATCCAGGTATCCCAGTTACCCTGCTCACAGGGTCTAGTTTTTACTGGGATACCTGTGGTAGCCCAGTCATAAAATGCCTTTGTTTTTTTGTCGTCTTTTTTTTTTTTTTTTTTCCTCCGCCACAAAATGGAAAAATTGCGCTATAGTACCCAGTGGTCATTGGGCCCTCAACACCATGACAACTAACTGTGATCCAATGAGGTTGAAGGTGTTCACATGCTGATCACGTGTCATCATGATGATGATTGACGTTGTCATGCACGGACAGGTCCGGGTCACATGACGAACACGAGATTTTTGCTTATAAAATTCTCTCGTCATTCATTACGCATTTGTTGTGGAGTTGTTGTTTAAGCGATGGAGGTTGTGCGTTTTTGGGTTACGATTACTTGGAGTTTCACGGTGCAAACGGCCAAAATACTTACAGACGCCTACACAAGTCGTATTGTTCGCGGCCAATCCACACTAAAAGATGTTACTGAGCGGTATTTATGGAACGGATTGAGTCGCGAACGCTTGAAGGCCATGAAAGCCTTATATGCTTTGATAGCCATGAAAGCCTTGTGTGCTTTGTATGCCAAGTATGGCAATGTCTTAGTTGAAAAACCTACACTTGTTGAAAAAAGAAAAATGCTAAATCTGAAACAAAGTGCATATACTCTGTGCAATCTATTGAACAACACTACTACCGTGAGACTGAAGAACAAAAGTCTAATGGATGCAAACTGCTTGTGAAGATAGACGCCATGTTGGATTTACTTGATGCCAAGGAACGTAGCTACGATAAAAGTACGAACGGTATTAATTTCACGATCAGAAAGGTTAATCTCATGTTTTTTTTCATTGTAGCTGTATGGATATTCTTTTTTAATAAATACATGATGCAAAATCCTGTGTTTTTTGTGTTTAATGTTATTATGTTATCTCTTGTTTACGTAAATTTGTTGATTTCTTCAACGAATGCTGCCTTGAATAGCTTCGATGAATGTAAGGTACTTGAGAAAACTGCTCAGTTATCTGTTATTGTATATGATGATAAGCTTAATGATAGCAATGATGAAACATTTTCATTAAATACAGTTTGCAACTGTAGATCTCGATACGACAAATTTGATTATTTTAATCGCCCACGTACGCATGGTATACGTGTTCGTAGTCGTGAGCCCAGCAGAATACCAAAGAAAAGAATTACACGTATTTTGAAGAAATCCAGGAAAGTAAGACGTTTACTTCGAGCCTACGTCAGAAAAAGCATACCGAAGTCTTCCCGAATGCATCTTCTTATATATAAAGCTGGTGAAAAAATATATGCACATGGAATCAGATGTGAGAATAAAGGAACAACGAAATATCCCTCTTGTGCAGTTAGGAGAAAATATCGAAAGTCTAACAAATACAGGATACTGAAAATGCAAAACCAATATCCACATGTAATAAAAAGTCCAAAGTCAAAGCAGTTGAATGCATGGAGGTCTAATCCAGTACCAAATGTTTATGAAAATCTGAATCACAGGGTAAATCATTTTAAGTCCAATCTGTCTGGGGATATAGAAAAAAACCCTGGTCCTGTTATTAATTCTACTAAAACAATTCAAGCTCCTTACAGCCAAGACAATGTGGCAATGTTTGGGTTAAATGCTGGTACACAGTGTGTAGCCATGTCACTTGCTTCCCTCATATATAACAAGAGGAATGGTATTGTATCCTCAATGGACTTGGTTAATATCATGAACATTGGTAATGAATTGTATTCTGGTCTATCAAGTCTATCCAGGCAATCCTATTTACTGTTAACAGAAGTACCTGAAATGATAATAGTGTGCGATATTACTTATCAGCTTCAATATAGTCCAAGCTATACTGGTACTATACATGGTACTTGTGAAGTACAAGATTTCAATTATTGTATGTCATTTGCTAATGCTATGCAGGCTTTGCTAGGACAAAATTATAATTCCTTTCTTTTAACAATCCTTAGTACTACAGTAGGTTTTTACTGTAATGGTGATGGTAAGTTTAAGATATTTGATTCTCATGGTAGAGATTCATATGGTATGCCCCATCCTCAAGGAACTTGTGTACTGTTAGAAGTTAACACCTTAAATGAGCTGATAGACTATTTTCAAGGTCTTTATCAAAATTCAAATGTTTTATTTGAACTCAAAGGTGTACATATTAGTGAAAAACAATGTGATATGACAGACATTTCTGACCAACAGTTGTCAGCTATTCCCATCAAACCAAATCATGCAGATGCTAAAATTACAACCAATCATATAACAATGAAATATTTACTCCAAAAAAAACATATCAGCCAATGGAAGACTACAATCATAATATAGTATTCAAACATGAATTACTTAATGGCAGACTGTATTCAGCAACTGAACAAAACCTATAACAAGAAACTATGGAATGCAAAAGATTAATTGACAGTGGCATGTTGGACACCAGTCTTTATACTGAACAAAACTTATTGGATAAAACCAAAAAAATCCTATTAACTTTTCCCGAAGACCAATGCTGTATTATTTACACAATACCAGCCACAACATACAAATAATTCACTAAATTGCATAGAAAATATGACAGAGAATCAGACAGAACATCAAAATGCAATGGAAGCCAAGGTAATAAACCTAAACAAGACCTTCTTCATACTTATGAACTACTGACCAAAGATGCATGACATCATTTCCTGCAGAATATCCAAAAAAAAACATTGTCTTTTGACCTATAAAACAACAAAATATAATGTTTGCTCCATATGTATTTGAAAGCTAAAAAACAAGTTGAATCCTAATATTGTAGTCACTCTACTACCTGAAATCTTTCAATTTAATCCATCTTTTTCGAAGTTTATTAGTCTCATTATTTCTTGATCTTCACCAAAGAGTTAAGCTTAAAGTTAAGTCTCATAAGCTACAATGAGACCTGTAACAAAACATTCTTATAAGCTTCTCTTTTCTTAAAAGAACAAAAGTAAACTTTAACCTTTAACTATATGTTTATCAGCTCTTTATCTCTTATGTATTTTATAC